TAGCCAAGATTCTGGACCTCAATGGCATGGAGTGCACAGCAGAGTTACCATGTCTAAATGTTGTCTGCCAGATACTTGGTAAGACCTTTTGACTGAGATTACTAGTAACTGTTCTCTGTTGTGGCCTTCGTCACCTTGTGCTTGAAAATGACTCTTTCAGCCCCCACAAAAATGCTTATTTGTAACAATTTTATTCATTGATGCCCTATTCAATAGAAACACGATCCTTGCACTGGCAATACTACTCTTGTCTCCCTTGAATGAGATCCACTTTTTTATAGCCACATCAAAGCTCAGGATGCTTCCACCTACTAGTCTTCCAATGTCCTGTCAGGGACTCTGTGATGGTCAAGAAATTATCATTATGACACAATAAGGGCTTACTTGCAAGTGAGAAGGGGTGGCATAAGTGTATTGTCTTTATGAAATTTGGAGAGCTATTCATTCAATACATCGCAGGTGGTGTTCTTTTCCTTCCTCATTAATGTCAGACATTTGATCCTTTATCAAATATATTGTTCAGGAAATATAGTTTCAGTGAAATGCAAAGGAGCAATCCCATCTGCACAGGATCCCTTGCTCCTAAAGAACACATCCCACCATAATTTCTATGTTAACTTCTGCAGTAAAACTCCTCAGCCCAACTACCGTCCATCCCTCAACAGACACTTGCTGTCCAGTGAAACCTTCAGAACACTGTGTGTCTCGTGTGTGGAACCACTGTCATGAACAAACATCTCATATGCTGTATGAGTGAACGGGGGCTACTAGAGGATTGGTAAGTTTGACAATACAATTGGAATAGCTTTCAACACATCCTCTATGCTGATTGATGCTCTCTTTAGTAGTGTCTCATAGGAATGTATATTTATTTGGTGCAAACAACAACTTGGATCTACTTCCTGCTGGTCTGCATATGTCAGATTGATGCACCACTGTAATTATTAGCATGTTGAGCAGCTGATCTTTCTACCGAAAAGTCAGAGCACCACTTTTTGAAATATATCCTCTTTTGCTGTGGGCCTGTAGCTTTCATTCATCTGAAATTTACATCCCAATTTGGTTACCTTGCGGGCTCAGGTACGAAAACATAGAGTTTGTATCAATAACTTATGATGGATGCAGTGTGCAGCTTTGCTGCAAAATGACATCTAACTTTGGTAGGCACACAATTTGCTCAAGTCATCGTGCCATCTGAAATTTCAGTATTGCCAACATAAATTTCATTGATACCGCTCCACATGGTATTTCAATGATAGAACTGTCAGGTGGTGGTATACCTACTAGCAGCACAAGTATTATTGTTCATCAATTCTACCACTCACTCACTGACGCCAATCCATCAAGCATGACCCAGATCTCAAATGGCCCTAGTTGGTCACTGCTAATTGATTCCATTCGTGTTGTCAGCTTTTGTAGCGAGAAGTCAGCCTATCTTGTTGGTGACATCTCACTCTATTTTGACTGTTGTTCCATAGTTGCAGCTACTATTACTGTGTTACATGACTGGGGTGAATAAATTAGCACTTATTGAGGAAATTTTTGGTACTGCAATAGTCATCACCAGCATTGACATCCGGAAAAGAGGTGTGTTGACAACTTTACTACATCAGCTATCTCTTTCACAATCCTTTCATAATTTGAACTAGTTTAAGTGAGTAAAATTACTTTGGAACAGCAGGAGGGGTAGCACTGCCTTCAGAAATTGCAAGTGAGCTGCATCTAAATGTTATACTCTATATTTGTCTGCAAGACTCCCAAGTTGGCACTGTGCCAGTTAATTGTGTCTCATTACCAGCAACTTAATATGTTAAGTGTGTTTCACATAAGCTGAGTTTTCTTATTCTGACCGACTGTATAAGCATATCTTTCCCTCGATTTCATGAACAGATAAATTAGGTGTTCTGCACAAGTTCTGCAACTTGAATGGATACTTTCCATTCCTGTTTGACACTCTGCATTCATATTTGGGGGTGGATGAATCCAGGTCATCAGTCTAAAATAATGACTGAAACAGCTGTGAGTTCACTTGATACATCAGTCCTTTGCACTGTGGATAGTAGTTCCAATGAAAATCAGTAGAAAATGCTCTGATGCTGAATGTTTCAGAGTAACTATCTATCAGACCTTCATGCACAAGTCACATCCACACACCTAACCTAGTTATAGGCAGATGAACACCGCCTATCACACATCCTTCTCCAGCCTGCTGTAGAGACTCATGCCTCTTATGGTCTGATATGGCACTTTTCCCTAGGAGTACATGACACGAACTTGTAGTGTCACTCTGTGTGCTATCCACAGCTATCCCTATATGAGGCGCAGCTTTCCCACGCAACGTGTGCCATGCGCGCACACTTCCCGTGCTTCACAATGTATATGCGTGTACACTTTCCCATGCTTGAGCGCCCTATAGTGCCAGCCATCCAGATGCATTCATCCACTGTCCACCAAGTTCTCTAGTGGATATAATTCCATTTCCCTTATCTGCATATCATTCCACCTTTATTTTTATCATGGACCCTTACTTATATATATCTTTACATACCTTACTCAGTAGCACTTAGGTGCCATACTTAAGCACCAGCAGTACATACCATTAGACACCTTACTTGACTTCTCACCTTTTTGGACTTGGGAACTACCCACTTACTACCTAGAAAGTTGCAGTAGAAATCTATTCTCTGATATTCACCTCGCACTCACATCTCTTGTCTAGTATCTCATTATCACTTAAGCAAGCTTATTCTTACTCTCTCTTGTTTCCGCATACACATGTGCATTTTCCCACGCTTCGTGCAATACACGCGCTCACCTGCACTTTCTCGGGCTTTGCATTGGCCAACCAGTAGCACTTTCAGCACATACCTCTAGATCCTTGCTGCACTTGCTTCCCCTTTAGGGTTGAACGCACTTGTTGTCTTAAGTATAGCAGAGTAGGCAATGCATGACCTTACAACATTTATAGATACAGTCAGGAGCCTCATTCGCACCTCGCTGTATTGTTGTTTCTACACCGCATGTCAATGTTTGTGGGACTTCTGATGTGGTCAATCTGCCTTACTCAGGCCTGGGGAATTGGACCCATTCTCCAGTGTCACATTCATATTTTATTTGGGACTTGTTGGGTTAAGATTCATGGTGTGTAAGACAACTCAAGCAGACTGTCTGTCATGTAAGCTATACAGTATGAGTCATACCCTCAGCTGTGTAGCTTTGACCTGACCAAGTACTCTCCAAAGCTTTGGTTTTCTGTCATGCATTTGCTTTCTAGTTACTGACTTTACTTTCATGAAGCTTGTGTACATATATTGTAGGTGTAAAGACAGTACTTAGTATGACTACTAGCTATGTAGTTTATTTTACAATCACTGGCATTGACCTGTCCAACTCCATCAAAGCAAAATGTTAGTGCATGTGAATGACAGGTAAGTTGTGAAATTCACTGAACCACCGCACTCAGCTATTCTCAGTCTTATCAGTAAAAAATGAAGTTCCTGATGTTGTTTCAGCTGTTCTCCTTGCCATTGGACCATTTCCTCCAGCTGACGCCTGTGCTGCCACTCCTCTTCAAGTTTGCAGGAGGCTAATTGAAGCTGCCTTTCCAGTTCAGTGTGCTACCTTTCCAGCTCCAGCTGCTGGGCAATGTTTGCAACAAATGAGTGTTCTGCTGGTGTGGTGAGAGCCTGAGTGTTCAGCAACTCTGACAGGGTATTAACTGGCACAAAAATTTCTATTTTTGCTCTCTGAATGACCAATGATATCAATGAATTTAAGCAGTAATTGGGTAGTAGTAGTTAACAGAATGACTTGCCTTAGGATGCATTGATGTTGCTCAACATGAGTCAAGTGGGGCAGGTGAACACTTGAGGCTCAGAGTGTTTGACAGTTATTATAAAATGGTATCTCGGTTCCCTGGCAAGCTCAGTTCTTATGACAGCAGCAGCTCCACCAGGGGTAAACTAGTGGATATGGATTCTAAACTGCCAGTGGCCCCATGATGATGAACTCGAAGGTGGGTTTCATTATCCATATTCATTTTGTTATCAATCCTCACACTATCTACAGTTATCAGTGAACAAAATCTCAATATTCCTTTTAAAAAAAGCATACCCACAGGCATCTACATATCTATTAACATCGACTTGAGAAGGTGCTGGAAATCAGCCATTGAAGTTTGATCACCTGAAGAATTTGCAGTGTGAGGCTATACCATGACCCTGTAAGTCTATTGAGTACTTTCAGAAGCAATTTGAGGCCTGATCTTCCATTTGTAGATCAAGGAGTTCATGCTCGCACTTTGAAAACATTCAATACCTTTGCAAGGTATGGTAGTACTGTCCTTTACCATATCACTGACACAATCATTTTCTTCAATGAGATCTCCTGCATTATCAAGCCTGTCTATCATGTGCAATGGAGTTCCACAAGGCTAGCCATGCACCGAGAGAAGTGTGGCCACAAGCATTTTAGATGTATGCCCTTCCCACCTTTCAAATGCAAGCTACCTTTTGACAAGAAGTCTTTCTTCGCTGCAGAGGCTGTCAACTTGGCAATCCCTGGAGGGCCAAAGTTTAAGCCATTGTGCTGTAACAAATTCGCACAGAGTACAAGGTTACCTTCCCGCATCTCTATAACTCCCTCCCTTGCTCTGTTCACCTCTCCGCCTCCATCTCCATGCATGGCACTACTTTGAAGAAAGCATTGCTCATCTCTCATGAAGGCACAAGGACGTTATGTGATACAAACACCATCCTGATTGTCCCTTATCTCTATATGATCTCACTGAGGCGCTGACTTGGCGCCACAACAAAAGAATTACTGCTGCCAACATCCGTGAAGCAGCCCAACTCTATTATGAGCTACTGCCTCTCTGTCCAGAGGGTACCTACCTTCATAGCATTGCAGCAGGGGAAGATGGTGTCGATTATGTGATTGACAAATGCAACAATCTTACAACAGATGCATCCAATGAAGGCATCTGCCTTCGATGAGTCATTCTCGAGCTCTGTCCTGTGGGTCATCAAAGCGCACTTAACAGGCTTTCAAGTACTCTTGAATCATGGATTAGACAAAACGGCAACATTGCTGATTTAGATGAAGGCATAAAATTTTGTCATGATGTTGTGTCTCTGTGCTCCAAGGGACATCCTGACTGTGGTGTCTACTTGAATAACTTGGCTATTTCACTTGGTCTTTATCACTTCAATCACCAAGGCAATCCTAATGACCTCGATAAGGCCATCTCTCTACACAAAGAAGTGCTGCATCTGTGCCCTCTTGGGCACAAATTTCGGAATTTCTCATTGGATGGCCTAGGGCTTGCCCTTGTCGCCCATTTCAACAAATGTGGTGCTGTAGACATAGATGACATCACCTGAGCTATCAGCCTCCTTCGTGAGGCACTGATATTGTGCCCACCTGGGCATCCAATTCGTGACACCACACTTAACAACCTTGCCCTCACACTCAAGACCAGAAACATCTCCTGTCCCACCACCTGCACCTTGTGCTTCCATCAGTCCTTGAGACATTTGTGTTACCAGCACAGCCTGAGGTTGACCAACTAGCGTTGAACTGCCCCATGAGATTAATGTTGTGTCTATCTGATCTGAGTTTTTACGGGGTCCAAGTTTTCAAGTTTTGCTCATTGAGGAAGCTGGACAGGTTCTGGAGGCTCATGTGCTTGGAAGTTTGGTGTTACAAGTAACATCGGCTACTTGCCCCCCTATCATTTTTGCCTTCATCCTCGTCCTCACCTCCCTCCGGCTCATACTCCTTCACCGACTATCCGTTAATTGGATCCTCAGGACCATCCCAGTCCCTCGTCCCCTCCCTATCGCACCAACGTGCACACGTGCCTTCGGGCTATGACTCGTTCTGACTCATGCCACCAATGTGGCTTTCCTTATCTTCCTTTATCTCTTATATGACTTGTGCATACTGCGCATTGTATCTCTTACCGTTGGTTCGTTCCAACGTTTCTCAGTCTCATTCCGCATTCGACCTCTCATCACTAATTAGGCTATACTGCCATCGTACTTATACCCTTTCCGTTTCCTCTTTACCCTTACCTACAGTACGGTAGCCTTGCCCTTAACCCTTTCCACTTAGTATAAGTAGTCGGTCACCCTGTACTAGATTCCCTAACTTGAATCTACTCAATCTTCCCTTGAACATACTTCCCTCTGAAGCCCCCTCAGCTTCAGTCTCTAGTATCTTTTCTTAGGTGCTCATCACGCCTAAGCCTACCTCGATCAACTACTCATCATTTGGACAAGACAGTCCTTACCTTGAGAACATCAGTGACTTTGAAGACATCCATCTTAGAAGTCACGTGACACGTGCATCTCTGATATCTGCCGACTCGACGTCGTTAGTCTCAGTCGCTACACCGGACCCTTCCAGTTATGTCACGAACATTAGCAGACGACGCCCCTCTTAGGGCTCTGCCTAACAGATCTATTTGAGTGCATAACAAAAGATTCAAGTTTCCTTTTTCTGCCCTGCCATCCACATGGCACCTCTGATCGACAGACACCACGACTACCTGGACCAGAAAGTACGATTGGGAACACGACCCCAACACTCCTGACTCAGAACCCAAAGAATTGGAAAAAGACCACACGTCCTCCGACGAGTTTCCCAATGAACAACTGTACGGCAATCTCAACTTGAACCCCAGAACAAGAATGTCTGGAGGCCCCACCCCATCAACCCAACCGACAGTGGTCGTATCCAGGCCTGAACTAAAGGCTGGAGTACCACAGAACTATGCAGGTAGCATCGATGATGCCGAGCATTGGATGTACTCGGTGGAGACTTACTTCCTCATCAACCCAATGATCTACAACACCGACCAGACCAAGGTCGCTGTTGCACTCCAGTATATGACAGACGGGGACGCTCGCATTTGGGCGGACACTTTCTATCGACTAGCCTTCGACAAGACACCCATCAACTTCGGAAGATGGAAAGACTTCAAGAAGGCCTTTGCTGATGCTTTCCATCCAGCCGACAGGCAGGTCGAAGCCTTAACCAAACTACAGGGTCTGGTCCAGACAGGTGATGTAATGCCTTACATCGCAACGTTCAAAACCCTGTCGTCCACTGCGAGTCTCAAGCAGGACGTCGCCCTCATTCACTTCTTCGAACAAGGGTTGAAGCCCAGACTTCGCACTGCGATCTACGCCAAGGAAACCGTCCCCCTCACCATTGACAAATGGTACACTGCCGCTATTAGCTTGGAGTCCAACTATAAGCGATTAAGAGCAGTTGTGACCAACCACAGAATGACACACCCTTCCGGCAGCCGGCATGTTCCCAAGCCTCACATTCGCCAATGCGATCCTGACGCTATGGACGTGGATCGCTCCCTCACGCCTGAGGAGCGACAGAAGTGCTACGATAAAGGCCTTTGCTTCAAATGCAAGGATAAAGGCCATCAAGCGAACGATTCCCGGTTCCACCCGAAGGTGCGCCGAGGAGACAAGAACGACGAAGAAGACAAAGGCAAGAAGCCAAGCAAGTCTGGCGTCCGCCAGCTTGACGAGTCTTCTGATGAGGAAGACATGAATGTCAACTGAGTCGGAAAGGATTTTTAAAGAGAGGGCTTGTCGAATGGTCAATTCCCTCTATCTGCGCATTGTATACTAAAGCTGTTGGTAAATCCAACGAGTTTCGTGTCCCGGTGACACTTTTCTCTTCATGCAGTGCCAAAATTGTTCAGTCGACCGCAATCATCGACTCAGGGGCAGGTGGGACCTTCATTAGCTATGACTTTGTCAAGCGAAATGGGATCCAAACCCACCTACTCAAGAAACCCTTCCGGATCACTACAGTAAATGGAAGCCCGTCCTCGGCAGGACAGGTGACCCACTACTGCATGCTATTCATTTGTCTCGACAAGAGACTTATGTATGGAAAGTTCAATGTAATGAAACTTTCCAGGCATGATGATCTACTTTTTGGAAAACCTTGGCTTAGTGCTATGATGCCCGAAATCGACTGGAAGGCCAACACGATCTCCCTGCCTGCGACCACCCGGTCAAAGGAGGTGGAGAAGAGCCTCAATGCCTCCCGCTGGGAGAGCAAGGCAAAGCCATATCTCTTTTGTGGAGAAAAGGCTGTCCTAGAGGAGCTCAATGACGAGGACTTTTCACCCCTCAAGAGACTCCCCAAAGGCACTCAGCATTGCCTCAAGGAAATCAAGAAACACAAGAAGTGTACCAAGAAGAAGGCTACACCGACAATTGTGCCCTTCGAAGATATCGACTTCGACATGATGGACGATGTCTGGGTCGGACAAGCCCAGCTTGCCAAAGAAGTCAAGGAAGTATCCACCTATCCTCTGACTGACGACAAAGTTCTTATAGAATATGCTCCGGATGGAAGCTCCATCTGGATTATCGAGAACGTCTCCTTCAACTCCCCACTCATGAAGGATGGGACCTCGAAACAAGAAATCAAGAAAGCCCTGCGCCAGCAGGCAAAACCACTCCAGAACATGTGGATCCTAGCCTCCCAGCAGGAATACACAAAGACCTCCAACAAAGCTCAAGAATTTGCTATGGAGGACACGCAAGAAAAGGAGAAGAAAACCTTTGAAGAACTGGTACCTTCCTATCTTCATGATTTTGCTGATATCTTTGCAAAAGATGGTCTTAACAAGCTCCCTCCCTCTCGACCGGGGGTTGACCATAGAATTGAAACGAAGGATGGCTTCATCCTGAAGTCCTCCAGAGCCTATCCGCTCTCCCCGAAGGAAACCGATGCTGTCAAAGCATTCCTGGATGAACATCTCGCCAAAGACTTCATCCAACCTTCAAAGTTTCCGCAAGCCACGGGATTCTTTTTCGTTGGAAAGAAGGATGGATCGCTTCGACCCTGCCAGGACTACCGGTATATCAACAAATGGACGATCAAGAACGCATACCCACTCCCTTTGATCCCACCCTTGCTGGCTAAACTCAACAAGGCGCAGTGGTTCACAAAGGTCGATGTACGCTCGGGATATAACAATATCCTCATTCACCCAGATGACAGGTGGAAGGCCACATTCTCCACCTCGTATGGGCTCTTTGAGCCCAAGGTAATGTTCTTTGGACTATGCAATTCCCCTGCAACGTTTCAAGCTTACATGAACCAAACATTTTCAGAAGAACTGAACAAAGGATGGCTAATCGTCTATATGGACGATATATTAATCTTTTCAGATAATCTCGACGAGCACTGGCAAAGGACGCGCCGGGTGCTCGAGAAACTCCGAAAGGAGTCCCTCTTCCTCAAACCTGAGAAATGTACTTTTGACTCTCAAGAAGTCGAGTACCTCGGTATGATCATTCGACCAGGACAGGTCGCCATGGACCCTGCCAAGCTGAAAGGAATCAGTGAATGGCAACAGCCCTCTTTAGTCAAGGACGTGCGATCCTTCCTTGGATTCTGCAATTTCTACCGACATTTCATCCCCCACTACTCCGACATCGCACGCCTTCTCCTTGATTTAACCAAGAAGGAAGTCCCCTTCTCTTGGTCCAACTCTACCAAAACTTCCTGCCAGCATCTGAAGAAGCTTTTCACCACCAAACCAGTTCTGCGGAACCCTGATTCCTCGTGACAGTTTGCACTTGCAACTGACACTTCACTCTTTGCGACTGGAGCAGTCTTACTCCAAACTGACAGTAATGGGGATTATCACCTCTGCGGCTACCTGTCCCAGTCTCTCAATGCGGCCGAATGGAACTACAAGATCTATGACCGGGAACTCCTTGCCATTATCTGTGCCCTCCAAGCCTGGAGGCACTTCTTGGAAGGAAATGCTCATCTGGTCATTGTTTTTACAGATCACAAGAATCTGATCTACTTCTGCTCCGTGCAGTGTCTCACCCGACGACAAGCCCGGTGGCACCTCATGCTTACCAACTTCGACCTTGAACTTCACCATGTTCCAGGTACGAAGCTTGCTGCCCTGGATGCCCTCTCCCGCTGGCCCGATCATAATGACTCGGACCATGATAATGAAGATCGTGTCCTTCTCCCGGACACCTTGTTCACCCGTCTCATCGACACTGAGCTCGCTGATGAATTCCAGTGGCTCTCTGATGACCCTGCCGACCAAACTGTGAAAAACAGCATTGGAAGCCCTCACGGGGGTGTGTGCACCTCCCATGAAATCTGCACTCTCCGACTGGCGATTCACCGATGGCGTGCTCTTTTATAAAGACTGCGCCTATGTACCCCCGGACCTCCGCCATTGGGTGCTCTCATTGCACCATGATCATGCTACCGCCAGTCACCCTGGGTGGTCTGTCACTGAATGGAATGTCAAGAAGTCATACTGGTGGCCCGGAATGGGCTCCTTTATCCAGAAATATGTCAATGGCTGTGCCATGTGCCAGCAGATGAAGGTTAACACCCACCTGATGACCCCTCCCCTCACCCCGATACCCTCCTCAGCCCTTCGCCCCTTCGCTCAGGTCTCTGTGGATCTTATTACCGATCTCCCAGAGAGCGCCGGCTACGACTCCGTCATGGTTGTGGTAGACCATGGGCTTACAAAGGGGGTAATTCTCTGCCCTTGCAGAAAAACTATCACTGTGGAAGGAGTAGCTGAACTTTTCTTCAAGAAAGTGTTCATGTGCTTCAGACTCTATGATAAAATTATCTTGGACCGAGGCCCACAATTCGCCTCGAAGCTAGCAAGAGAGCTAGGATGACTTCTTGACTACCAAGTCACACTCTCCACCGCTTATCACCCACAAACCGATGGACAAACCAAATGACTCAACCAAGAGTTAGAAACCTACCGCCGGATCTATTGCCAGACAACCCCCTCTGAATGGGCGAAGCACTTACCCATGGCCGAGTTTGTTCATAACTCGCATCGACACAGTGCCCGGAATGCCTCCCCCTTCTTCCTGATGATGGGATACGAACCACGCGGCATCCCTCACCTCTTCCCTGACTCTACCCTACCAACCGCCGAAGACCGAGTCAAGTCACTCGCCAAGATCCGCGAAGAAGCACTAGCATGCCACAGCCTTGCGCAGCAACGCATGGCTGATCATTCCTTTGGCCAGAAATACAAGCCATGGAACGTTGGTGATTGTTATGACGATAGTCGTGTGCAGACTGGGATAATCTAACAGCGACGATCACGACAGTGATACCTCGTGCTGAGAGTCCAAGGTCGGCTCCTACAGAAAAGTAAGAGTTGCGTACGCTTCGCGGAGGCGAGCGATGGTAGCGATTACAGGCAGAAGGGGTCTCAAGTCCTTCTGAAGGTGCGAGTCGAATGTCGAGCAAGTAGCTTTAGCAAGACAAAGAGTTCAAGGTAAAACCCAGTAAGATTAAAGTAAGGAACATCTACTTTAATCTTCGACCTTATATAAGGCTACTCTATCATATCTAAGTTCAGCTTGAAGCTGGGTTCTAATCTGCTTATCTATCGAGTCAGAGATACCATGCATGAGGCAGGCTTCTATCTAAGATAAGGATCACGAGGCATCCTTCTATCAGTACATGAGGCAACCACGAGGCTTGCCTTCTATCTTGATATCATAAATAGGTCATCTAGATCTATGTCGTCATATATCATGTAAGCGATCCAGATCGCTTATCTAAGCCGGCATCTTCTGGGCTTCTCTTCTAATCATCGTCTTTCATCAAGGCCTAAAGGCCAGGGTATCGTGTCTTCACCATGCAAGGTGGCAGAGGGCTATCTGTAGCTGGGGGCTCACGTCATGTTACTGTAACAGTGATAAGGTATGGCTATCTGCCACGAACCTGATCACCGGATTCCCATCTAGGCAACTCGCCCCAAAACGATATGGACCCTTCCCAATCCAGAAGGTCCTCTCCCCTATCATGTTCCAGCTGAAGCTGCCTGCCAGCTGGCGCATTCACCCCACGTTCCATGCCTCGGAACTTTCCTCCTATCAGGAGACAGACGTGCATGGACCAAATTTCACCGAACCTCCCCCTGACCTTATCGATGGAGAAGAGCACTACGAAGTGGAAGAGATCCTCCAACACAAGGGTACCAGATCACATCGCCGGTACCTCGTGTCATGGGTTGGCTATCCTGCCTCTGAATGAATGTGGCTCCCCGAAACAGAATTGAAGTCCACAGTGGAGCTCCTGAAGGCGTATAAGAAGCGACTCAAGATCACTTCAATCGCCATCTCATGTTGATCAACAAATGCCATCGCAGCTTTGCAACGCGTCCTCACTACACTCGAACCCCCAAGGATGCCGAACCTACCCGCACTACCCCAAACGACTACCACCGCCAACAGACCTGCAATCGCCATCGCCCTCTCAGACCCAAGCCACTCGACAAGAAACAACCCGTTACCCAATACCCCACCTACACCTACACCCAAACCCAAAGAAAACCCCTCAAATATGTCGGTGTAGAAACAACAATACAATGAGGAACAAAAGAAGCTCCTGACTGTATCTGTAAAAGTTGTAAGGTCGCGCGCTGCCTAGTCTGCGTTACTTGAGAAGCAAGTGCGTTCGACCCTATAGGGGAAGTGAGTGCAGCAAGGATCTAGAAGTGTGCGCTTAAGCAAAGCGCGAGAAAGCGCAGGTGCGCGCAAGGTACAAAGGCGCGGGAACGCGCGCGCGTATTAGCGCGAAGCGCGGGAAAGCGCGCGCGCGTATGCGGAAATGAGAAACTAAGCTTAAGTAGTGATATAAAGCAAGATAAGAGATATAAGAGTGCAAAATGTAAAGGAATAGCTTTCTACTATATTCTGCTAAGTAGTAAGTGGGTAGTAACTAGTAAGTGAAAAGTAGGAAAAGTAGGTCCCGTGTAGTATGTACTGCTGGCGCTTATATAGCGCGCCTAAGCGCGCTCATGCGGAGCCGAAGCGCTACCGAGTAGGTATGTAAAAATATATATGAGTGAGAAACTAGGATAAAAATAAAGGTGGAACTATGCTAATAAAGGAAATGGAAATATACATACTAGGGAGCTTGGTGGACAGTGGATGGATGCATCTGGATGGCTGGCGCTATAGGGCGCGCAAGCGCGGGAACGCGCGCGCGCGTATACATCGTGAAGCGCGGGAATGGTGCGCGCATGGCGCGCGTTGCGTGGGAAAGCTGCACCTCATATAGAGATAGCTGCGGGTAGCACACAGAGTAATGCTATGAGTTCGTGCTGTATACTCCTTGGTGAAAACTACCATATCACGCCATGAGAGGCATGATTCTCTACATCGGGCTCAGTATCGTCTGTTTCCTCGCTCCCTTCCGATACCTCTTGTGCGTCTGCCTCAGACCCCGCCCTGACAAACCCGACACCGCCTGGCCTTGATAGGCCCTCTTACTCCATCTTCAGACGGCCCTCCCTTCGAACTGTTATCCAAGATAGGAAACAGGCCTACTGGGAAGCAGTCATCTGCAATCCCCAGTACACACTCCGACTCGACAGTTATCTCCAATGAACCAATGACGAGATCACCACCAACCTCGTCCAAGCCTTCAGGGTCACTGACGCCCTCACTGGTGACATCACTAGGATAGACCTAGCTCGGGACACCACGCTGTCCACCATCTCAACAAGATACAACTAGGGTAAAATCAAACATGCCCTGCTGAACTTGTTTGAACTTAGGAACTTCCATGCTGCTGTCATGGCCATCGAGGAGGAGCAGGCATTTAATCCCCCTCCCGATCCTGTTGAAGTCATTGAGCGTGCTGTCTATGACAGAGCTCCGACTCCCTTCATTCCCCTGCTTCGCTCTGAGAGCCCAGAGCAGATCCCCAATGTGACACAAATGACAAACCCCAAAATCGACCGCCTCTTCAACAAATACGAACGTGAGCGCTACACGTGCACTCATTCTCCCCCGTCTTTCAACACTATCTCCATCACCATCCTGGAACTGGATGAGTGTACTCCCGAACCCCCAGTTCTCAACCCTGACGACTGGGTACCAAGTGATGTGGTACCCACTCTTTCCATCGGTTCTCCAGTTGAGCACTCTCGCCCACTCCCTACCCCACGACGTTAGCGCACTCGCGCACGATCTATCCTGTCTCTCAGGCTTCCACTTTCCCACACACACCGTCCACGTACGCAGAACTACACATGACATTTCACCAGGGAGGAAGCACAGGATGATGCTATCAGCAGCGCACAGCGCAACACCACCGAGACCACTCAGGTCTACCGCAGTAACGTTGTCTGCCGCCAGTGCCATGTCTTCGGACACAAGCAGAAGCACTGCGCACAATATTTCTGTCGCATTTGCGGGCAATTTGCCCCAAAGCACCTCACTCCCTTCTGCCCTCGTCTCGATGGCAGAAAGATACTTTGTCATGGTCCCTCCTCAGAGAGGTTCTACATCGACATGCACCGGCTTGAAGCCGCATATGATCAGGATGCTGCTCGCCTTGAGCAAGACTGAGAGGAGAACGCCATTGAAGCCGCAGGTTGGCTCCAAGACCTCGACTTCGACCCCATGTGGTATGCCAACCAGGACAACTACGTTTTTCTGTGAGCACTTCATAATGAAATTAATATATGCTTTCTGACATCCAACTAGCATTGTCCATGGATCACTTGAGAGGGCGAGATCTCTATAAGTTTAACATGTCCCTGATGGAATGTCTTTCAAGCTCTGGACCTGTGATGTCTCGGATTGATGTACAATACTGAATGTGGCCAGCAATCTCGAGTTTGATTAGGTGTGTCTCTTCTTATACTTATATTAGGCCCATATTGATTTTCTATCAGGAATACGCTCTACCCTGATCTTGAAGACCATGAGCTTGTCTGCCACTATCCCTCTGTTCTTCGTCAATCACAGCCATAGGGAAAATGAGGGTTCAGAAGACTCTGCCAGCAAGTACAATCTATATGAGGCAAGGGTTTTTATTGCCTTGATGATTTAGCTGTTCGCTGATCTATTGTAGGTGCAAATGATTTGCGAACTAGTGTTGTATCTGTTGAGGTCTGAGCACACAAAATTCTTCATAGTTTGAGGATTAATCAGTTTTATCCAGGCAAGGCTGCTATCCTGAAGAAGGTGACATCATGGTTCTTTGTACCTACCTTGGTCAGCTTGCCAAACTGTGAGATGCCCTCACTAATGAGGCAGTGATTGTGATTGATGAGCACGACCAAGCTGCTCTTGCTGACCAAGAGGGAGATGATACAAATGATTTGAGTTGTGGGATCACGATTGAACATGTACAAGTTATGAGAAGGGTATGCATTGTTGTTGTAAGGCAGTCTCTTTGTGTGCTCAATCAGCTTCTAGGTTCGATTGTGCACCATTGACAACTATCAAGGCGAAGAGGGCAGAGTAAGCATGCACATCAATCTTATTTCTTTTTCTGAAGGTTTTCTCCTAGATTGTGATCTTGTTATTGGTTCAAAATTCCGGCAAACTGGACAACAAAATGGCTTCGCTTGGATTCATGCATGCAGCCAGGCCAGACATCGGTTTTCTAAAGGTGAGAGCCCTTGGTCCGGCACCTCCTATCACTTGTCATTGGCACCCGGAGACATTCGAGTATGTCTGAAAACCAGGTCAACTACCCCAAATCACACCTGATGGTGTGTATGGTCACTCCTTAAACTCAAGCAGTGCATTAAACCATGTTTTCAGGAGGATGCATGTGACCCTGCAACTTCTGTTTGAACTGCGGTCACTTGTGTCCATTCAAGGTAATGTTTTTTTCCGTTTGGTGTGGCATATGAGATAAACATTCCTTTTAGTTTCATAGTAATGATTATGCCTCTGTATCGTGCATGCAGTCATGCACAAGGCTTTGTATAAGGGGTCATCCATGCCCTAAGCAATGTGCTTCCCCATGTGGTGATTATTTCTTCCCAGAAGCCAATGTTGAACTTCTGTGTGGACACTTGAAGGCCACTGTTCCATGATGTGTCTTGACCATCACAAGCTGAAAACTTGATGTTGATGCTTTATTTCTAGTCATGTGATTCATGGTTGATAAGGAACTACCTCATTGCAAGCACACTGCTCGACATGTTCGACTGATTCAGCCACTTATCTCTGTAAGGCTCCGTGTAACCAGATTATGAGTTGCTGTGGAAGATCATACAAAGGAAAGTGCGATGAATGCCAGCAGAAAAATACACCTTCTGAAGGAGAACATACAGGCAGGACACAGCATGCTACTCACCCCTGCAAGAAACCACTTTTCTGCAAGCATTTGTTTCAGGAGGCTTGTTCTGATGACTACAAGCACACCATTGCTTGCAGGAAGCCATGTAGACAGGCCTGTTCTCATGCTCTGTGTCAATCGCTGTGTTTGACGCCTTGTGTGCCGTGTCAAGAGTCATGCACATGGTAACTAAAAACTGTTTGAAACTGATTTCCATATTTTTGCTGATCAATATCCTCAGGAGCTGCCAACACCATCCCTGTCCTGTACTATGTGATTCTGTTAGTGTGCTATCTAACTTCAGCTGTTCCATGCTTTCCTGATACTCCATTTCTAGGTCTGTGCAAGATTTCCCTGTGACGTACTTTCCAACACAATTTTGTGTTGTGGACACAAGTGTCCTTCTGGTGAGTGGTAAATTGCTTCATTGAAACCTTGTGCTCACATCATAGAAAGTCTGCATAGAATAATGTGATATCCAAATTTGCCCGCATTGTGCCTCCAATAACAAGAAATGCCATGTTGTTGATTTCATCATACAGCGCACACTATCTGAAGTTACACCGGATTTGAAAACTCTGAATGAGATGTTGATTACCATTTCTTTGTGCAAGTGTTCACTGCAGAAACTCTGGATGTTCACTGCAGTATGAGCGATTTTTACTTCCAGAATGAGTCTGGACAGTGGCTTTGCATGCTTTCCCCCATCGGATTCAGAAAACCCCCTACATGTCCAACATGTTGTTTGCCAATCACTGCTCCCAGATATGGTTGCATCCTCAAGTGAGCTGGTAGGGGTTGTGCAATTGGCCTTTGGGAGGGCCGCTGTGTATGTTCATGAGAGAGTAGGGGGACAAGCAGTTGGGCCATCATCGTCATTTCATTATATAATAGTGTCCTTCTGATAATCAGTTTGTCTTAGCTATATGGATCTTTGACTGGTAGTGTGTAGTAGTGTGTACCACTATAGTGCTCAGCTCTAGATCTGAGCTGTCAAACAGTTGATTTGTGCCTCTTGAAGTAGTGGTGATTCTCACATATCACCCACAGATGCTCTTGCACTGGTACCATCATATTACCCCTATCATATACCCTTTCACCAATAAAACCAGAAAATCCTTTATTCTCGATTATGTATCTGTTCCACCCTTTCCAAAAGGTTTCACTAGGGTGGACTACAGCAACTTTTCCAGCCATGATAATACTAGACATGGAGAAGGATAGGGAGAAGGGCTCTCATCACTGGTTGAGGCACTAGCTACTACATTTTCCCAGAATAACCACTAGCCTTCATTGTTCCCCAAACCTCTGACACCAACCACTACTGTCTACATATGGAGACCTTCAGGGATATCTACAATGCAGAGTCCACCACTTCCAAAGGTGGGTAAAATGTGATCCAAATTACCTCTTGGAGTCTAATTTAGATATCACATGGCTCCTACAGCCTCAGGTTGTGCTAGTGCCAATATGAAGCAATGGAGGGTGTTAATCGGAAAGCCCCCGCCCAAGTGGAAAGTACACACATTCTGATATCTTGATCACAGCCTTCCAGTTTCTGCCCAGTCATCCCGCTTTCCATCTCCGGAATTTACTTTAGATTCAGATGGGATGTTAATGTCATTGGAGGTTCTGGAAGAGCAGATGCACTGCACATAGTATCATGACAAAAGCCTGCACTACCCTCAACCATGCCACTGCATCACATTTGCCTTCCTGTCCCTCCTCCTCCACCCAGTACTCATCCATATACTTCCCCCACTCACACCTCTCACTTTCCTCCATCGCAAATACTATTCTCACTTCCCCATGCACCACACACCACCGCACAACCTCCCTTACAAACATTCCTCCAAAGCGGTCAACACACTCTTCAATTGTGTGCACATGCAGATTACAAGAGAGTGGGTAGACGGTGTCCTGGTGAAACAGCACAGTGAGAGAATGGAAGTCAGCGTAGGATGTGGCAAGCATGAGAGCGTTTGGGAGATGGGAAGTCAGACCTGTAAATTCATAGGGTAGTTAGTTATAAAAATGAGGGTGGGGGATGGGGAAAATGAAAGCATACAAAGAGTTTTGAGGATCTCGGGGCAGAGTTGGTTGAAGTGTTCTTTGAGCTCTGTGGTCCCTCTCAGAACCAGGTTCATCTGCTGCTATGGGGCTATTTGCTGATTAGCTTTCTTCTTTTGTAAATAATGTATTAAGACAAACAACTTGCCTGCCGAGCCAATACAATCTCTCTTGCATACATGCAAAAACATTGTCACAAGCTCTGCAAGAAGCTCTCTCGACACATTTTCCATGTCTGCTTTGCTTGGGTCGAGCATGAACCTGTGACAAAGGAGGATCATGATACATATTATAAATGCAATGCAAATCTATGCACCTCATGGCAAAATCGACAAGCTTCAACACACCATTGATGGCACTCAGGCGGCTTGTCCACGGCTTGATCATAGGCAGATCAACGCCATACATGGCAAGACTATGCGCTCTATATGAGAGCGCTGCTTGCAGAATCATCTAGAGCATACTTCAGAGCCATTCCGAGCAGGCACAAAAAATGAGAGAGATAGCTTATAACCGTGACAATAGCCCCTCCAATTGCTCTCGTGGCTCCTTCTCCAGCTCTCTTAACCTATTGGACCATGAATGGAATAAGGCACACAATCTCTGCCACTCTGTACATAAAGAAATCTTGGATGACATCATGCAAAGTGGAGGGATGTAAAAGAAGGGTGGGCGGCTGTGAATGCATGAATGGCATCAGTGACATGGGTATGAGAGGCCCCAGCGCTGTTTGGATGTAGTTAGAGGGGTAAACAAAGGAAGGGTTGGATTTGGCATGCACTCTATATGCTCATTCATCTTTAACCAAAACTGATGACAGGTATAAAGCTTTTCCATGTCTGTAGCATCTTTCTCAGTGCTGCATTGTCGTTGATGAAACATATGAGCCAGCTGAGCCCATCTTTTTGCAAGGTGAGTTTTAGAGTGGCCACGAGAATAAATGCATGCACCACTCTTGAGAACAGCCTTGCTTAACCCCTGTGCACCTGTCATGAGTGCCCTAGCATCAACCTCAGGTGTAAATGAGAAATGTAGAGGATTATTAGCATTGCTTCCATAAAGTATGGCTTGTGTGAGGTGTACTCTTATGAGGACTGCGCAGCTAGTTCTATGAAGCTGGATTGACTTGGTTATCAGCAAATGGAGTAAAGAACTTGAAGCAGTGAGAGGAGAGGAACATGACTTATGACTGCACCTCCCCCGAGGATGCGAGGATGCCGATGTGGCTGTCTGTAGGCACACTTGTATTATGTAACCTAACTAAATAAGGTTAGTCACATCAGCAAAGACCTTGCATGGAAAATGCATCCGTACCTTGGGCTTGGGCTGAGCATCTGACTAGATGGGGCAGGTGTGGTTCATGGAAGATGAGTTCGCCAAGGTCAAGGATGAGCTTCAATGCAGCCTTTCAGAATATCTACAGCACCCAATGAGCAATGCAAATGATACCACTGGTACAAGTCCCACATTGTCAACATGCTTCTTCAAACTCTGTACACCACTTTCTTGTCAGTGATACTTGATGAGCACATTGACAGAGAAGGGCTCAACAAGAAAGTCAGCATCCTTCAGCCCTGATTTTGCCTTTGCCTGTGGTCCAAGGTAGTCAGCAATATTGCACTTCTCAGAAACATAACCACTGACTTCAAGGACTCCCATGTGGTCAAGGAGAAATGCTTGGATCATGATGAGGTTGTTAGCTGAAAGACATATAAGCACAATTATGAGCAATACGATCTAACCTTTAGAAGACTCACCTGTACAGATGAACAGAAAGCGGAACAAATCGACGGAGACAACTTTACTAAGAAAAATCAATATATGTCATGTGAGTGGCAGAGTGGGAGAGGGTGCTGCTAGCAAGTCATTGTAGGAAAGATAATGGTTTTGGCATTGGGCCCTGAAGAGGAACTGAAAAGTGTGTTCTTCTGCACACAAGTATGCTAATTGCTGAGTTTCAAGTTCAGCTGAGATCTTTTGATGTACATTATATTGGCTTTGGGGTTAGGGTTAATCCATATAAGGATATCTATTCTGGAATGGATCTCCTTAGCCCACCCTAAAGTTGTTAGTACCTGTCTGGTTGTATTAAGTGCTTTACACTATGCTCGATTACTGTGGTCATGCCTGCAATGCTTGGTAGTGAGTGACATATTTGATAATACTGACTTGACTGAAACCATCATGTAAGTTATCATGATTGCCTGGCCACATGCCATGTATCAGTGATCTAGAAAGGTGCTGATATTTCTTATTACCGTCAGAATATTGAGGCATATCACAGTGGGTAAGCTTTAAATTATGAATGAAAGACTCAATTACAATAAGACTCATTGACCAACACTGGCAGAGGAGGTTATTCTATCTGGCACATACCACTGTGCTGTTGAGCTTAGGGGAGTACTTTTGGGTGCCATGTATTTGATGCTCATCACTATATGAGAGATCCTCACACTGTGGTAGCGCTGAGTTGCAATCCCTGGTAAGCAAGGTCATGTGCCTAACTCCATCGTGAAAATCTAATGGCATCCTTCTCAGATCTATACACTGTACCAACTGTGTTCCTGCAACCCCTGAATGATACCTCTCCAGCTTGTGTATGCTTTATTACTTTGTGCACTTCAGCCTCCTCTGCCGAGTGAGAGAAAAAACTGTCTGCTATAGAGTTTCTTCATATCTTCAAATGATCGTAGATCTAAACTTGTGGCCAATGTGCATGAGTTCTGCAATGGCACTAAAAGGGACAGCTTGCGGTTGTCTTGGATGATTTAGTCGGTTTTGCTGTGGAACACATGGTACATTCAAACTGGGTGTCACATCATGCACAAGTACATGTCCTCATTGTATGTCCAATACTCTCCACAAATCAATGATATTCAGGTCGATTTCCCTGTGCAGGTTTCAAGCTATCGGCCCATAGATCAAACTTGTGATGGGCACGAACTGGTGTTGATATCTGATAGCCACTGCGATAATTGCGAGGGAAAAATACAAAGAGGGGGCGCACTTTTACTTTTCACTTGTGCATGGTTGTTGGTGGATTATCATGTAACCGATAAGTGTAGCATCTCTGAAGTCATGAATTTCAAACCCACCAGTTGTGAATAGAGAGGCCAGATAGTAAGGTCACAATGTGGGCATGAGCAGAGGGTTTTGCAGATAAGAGTCACCTTGCAGAATGCACATAAATCAATCAGGTAATAGTGCATGAAAATGTGAATTAATAATCAACAGGAACAAGCTACAGATACAGACCTTCAAGGGTGCCTTCATTCTTCCTGTACAAAACCCACAATGGCTCAGCAACGTCAGCCACAGTTTGAACATTCAACTTACCTGCTCCCTTGCAGCAATGAAGTCTGCTTTCATCACCCGCAAAGCTAGCATGTCCAGACGGTCTTCACACTAGGCAGTGGGAATTCAATCTCAAATATACCATAGCATGTATCTCTGGGTTGCAAAGACTGGATCTGAGAGACAGGAAAGACAAATATCACTTGGACAGTCAAGAAATCTGCCCAGAAAGCTCAGTGTTTGCTAGGAACATTTAATGATATCTGTTATTAGGTTGGTATGTGATAAAGCAAATTGGCAGACAGTAAGACAAAACAATAATAAGGAGTAATCAGTTATATGTGAACATTAAATATAATAGTCTAAGTACAGGAGTCCAAGTCAATATTGTCAAACAATGCAATTATGGTATCTTTGAGTGCTACAACTGACTCCCTCCATGCAGTACCATCTTCAACACTTTGTTCAATCAACCTATCAATGTCTATCTTTTGTCAATTTGTATCTTCCTCTAATTACTCAATATCATCAGTGAGAAAGTCAATCATTACCTGCTTATACTACACCTCTTCTTCTAATTTATCAATGTGATCTTGGTGTTGTTCCAGTCCATCATTATGTGTCATCCACATTTGTCGATCTCTTCATGATGCCTAATGTGCATCTCCTCATACTCATTTTTATCCCTACACTAATCTGCCTCCAAATTCTTAACATGATACTCCAGCCTTTCTAACATCTCAAGGAGAGTGTAGAAGTACTCCTTCATGGTGCATTCCTGTGCTACAGAACCATATAATTAAATCCCTTCTTCTTATCATTTTTATTTATGTTAGTATGTTCAATTCATGTTTTGGAATAATAAGTATATATATTTAATAATTTTCCAGCCAACTTTAAATGAATGTGTATCTATTTGCTAGCTTTGATAGGGATAAGTTCTGTATCTGCAGCTTTAAATGCAGAAAGGCACATTGATTAACAGTATATGTGATGGAAAATAGAATATGAATGACTAGATATAGTGTTTGGATCAGGAAGGAGAGAAATAAGAGAACAGACAGTTTAACATTGCCCTCACACATTCATTGCATACTAATTCTCTTATTATCACCATAGCCAAGCAATATTCTATGTGTTATCTCCAATAATAGGATAAGTCTAATGTATTTTGTAGCATTTATTGGGACACATGTTTTTGGACTTTGATGCTTTCAAGCTTTGCATTACATGACACTTGCAAGGCCATCACATGATGTCATATCTCAAGTTCTTAAGTCCCTTACTTCCTTATATAACTTCTAGTATCTTACTAATTTCTTATAACCTTCAAACTATGTGTGTCTCAGAATGAAGCAAAACCAAGGAAACCAAGTCTCAAGAATCTTAATCACTTTCTCAAGCCCATTATAAATGATATTGATTGTCTATAAAAAGATACCATTGTGACACTCAGACCCATGCTGGGTACCTCTGCTTTAATGAACATTGCTAAAAATCCACTCTCCTGCTTTATTATATCAGAAATCCATTGCCATAATATATATTTGTTTTGATCTTCTCCTAGATGTCGTCAGGTATGGGCCTGAGCCAAGATATTGACCAGGAAGATTTCATCATGGCCAAGAATGATTCAATTTGGGTGCTGATGTCTAGACCATCTGCGCAGAGGCCGGTATCTAGGATTTGTGGATGCAGCTGACGAAAGTGGACTTTACTGCTGCAAGGAAAAAAGTAAGTTGGACATTCGAACAGCAGGTGATGTTACTAAGCTATTGTAGGTTTTGTACAAGATAAAGCCAAAGACGCAATCACTGCTCATCTTGGCATACATAAAGGTAAGTACACACCCATCCTCACCATAGTTGCTGGACATTCTTATGCAAACCTGCCATAGCACTCTGCAAATCACTATTAATGAAGATGTCAGGCAAAAGATCAAAGCCTAGGCAGTCCTTGAAGATAATTGTTACTCAAGAGATTGCGGTGTAGAAACAACTATCCAGATGGTGGTATTCTGAACTATGTGTTGGGTCTGCTTGCCTAAGCTGCTATGCTTGTGGTGACAAGTGCATTCGACCCTAAAGGGGAAGCAAGTACAGCAGAGATCTAGGGGTTGGTGCAAAGGGTGCCGTTCATCGGCCGACGTAGAGCGCGAGAACGAAGCGCTTAGGGTGGCCGATGCACGGGAAGGTAGTGCTTGAGCGGCGCGAAGCGCGGGAAAAGCGCAAGGTGGGTTTACAAGCAGAGGTTCGTAATAGACGTTAAGGATGTTCTTATTGCCAATAGATACTGACTATGGCATGTGACGGATGAGCTTTACACTGATAGTGAGGTGCAGGGAGCTTCTATATGATTCGATGATGTAAAATATGAACTACAGGCGCTTATATATGTCTAAAAATGCGCCCCTGAAGCGGAGCCGAAGCGAGTAGGTAAGGTATGTAATAAGGGTCCATGACATGAGAATTGAGCAATCATTAAATAGAATATGGTTTGATATGGAGAAAATGATAGGAACACATACCAGTGAGGTTATTTTGGACAATGGATGGACGTGCGACGTAGGGCGCTTTGAGCGCAGGAAAGCGCGCCTAATGCGCGCGCAAGAATGCTGCGCTTGGGGCGGCCGATGCATGGGAAGGTAGTGTGCGCTTGGCACGGGAGAGTTTCGCTTCGCATAGGGAATGATTGGAAAGGTATTGGCACAAGTTGTGCATCAAACTGTACTCTGAGACAGGTCGCATATATAGCCTCTGCAAGGCCACAGAGATATCAGTCTCTACAGCGGCCCCCCTGCCAATGAAAATTCAGCAGGAGTATCAGGCATCCTGATTGGGACATTGTCACCCAGGTTCTTTGTAATACCAGGTTAAACGCGATGATAATACCAAGTAGCGAAAGTGTTCTCCACCTTCAAAGGTTCTGAGTCTAAATGCTGACATGCACCAAATTGGTTTGATGCATGAATGACTAATGCTCTCTCATGAGCCTAATACCCAAGAAACCATTATGGAACAATTTCTCTCTACTCTAAAGTCAGAAGGCAGCTGAGACAATATTTCATTTCACTGGACTCAGATAGACTGAATATTTTTGTACATTTAATTCTGTGATGAATCTTGATTAGTCACCATCGACGATGACTCAGAATAAATCCTATGCATGTCAGGCAACTGTGAAAAATAATTCTTGCATAACTTACCTTGTGAAAACTCCTTTAAAACCCTGAATACATGGCTCACGTCATTTCTATGAACAATAATGTAACACCAGAACAAAACACCAACAAATCTTGAATATTTCTTTTGCGTGGCATAATCAGCTTGTCACATGACCTTTGGTCACATGATACTAAGCCATATAACCTAACAGTCAGGTGACCCATGACCTAACACCAAATCATGACAAAGCCATATCTTAAGATGACTAAAGACTGATGACACAATCATGATACAAATGACTCATATAAATAGCTACTGGTACACTCTGAATAAGCCCATTCCTCTTAAGAATGTGGGAAATAGTAGCACAGCCACCACATTTTGTCTATATAAGACCCTAATTTTTGCCCATAATAATAAGAAGCCCCACTTTAAAAAGATAGAATTGAGTGTGAAGTGTGATCAGTGTCAACAACAGTGACAAGAGTTGTTAAGCAACTAACTGAGAGGTCATTGTGTGCAACAGCCAGCAATACCCTTAGCTCATCATCAACAACTGAGGTTACCTTGAGCTCACTGTGCTCAACATTGGGCAAACTTTGTCTTTGATTTTCTACTGGTGAACCTCTAGTTTCTTTTTGTCTTCTGTTTTTGTTTCTTTTCTTTTTCTCTTTGTTTTTTTTCCGCTTCATTTAAAGTCTGCGTGTTATTGTTCTGAATTCATGCCAGGATCTTCGTGTTATCTTTACATCCATCTAAGCAAAGGCTTAGTGGGAAGACTTCAAGAGTTGATAGTGATACTTGACCTCACTCATCTGAGTAGCAATACTGAGCCAGGGTTTTCTTTGTCTGCTAGACTTTAGTTATTGAATAGGGGACTTGGTACTGAAAGCCAAGGACATCTATTCCTGATTCTGTTTAATACTCATTGTGAGTTCCTTGGCAGCAGGTTCAATAGTGAGCTAAAAGTTCTACTGAACATTGATTAGTTCTGACCTTTGATTCTACCTGTTTATGCTGAGGCGGTGATTGTTATAACTTCGCACGACTTTCTGTAGTAAGTTTATTACAAAAAGCATTATTACTGAAGGAAGGGTTTCTCTTATCATTCTATTTCTTTTTTTCTCAGCACCATATTGTTGGGCTGACTTTTCTCTTTTTCTCTAGTTGCTGCCATACTGTTGGGGTGATTACATTCTGTTCATTTTCTATTGCATCCATACTGTTGGATTAATTGCATTTGTTGCTGACCTCACAGAAGTACTTTTGTCTGAACATAGCTTGGGAAAGTATAAACAGCTACCCACAAACGAACACATTATCAGCCATTAGTATTTGTCTAAATTGCTGACTGTGGAGATATTTGTTTTTATAGGTGTTTATCTATAGATCATCTATCTAAGAAGATAACATCAGAGCATTGGGCCACATTGAGCATTGGGAGAGGGCTCCTGTGATTATATCAGCATAATGGACAGTACTCAAGTACTCACAATATAAGACTAGGTGTGATGATCTCCATGGGCAGCATCTAGTAAGCTTTCTTGCTTTAAGTCGCTGTACGGGATGATCTTAATATCACCATTCTTCATCTTTGGCACAGCCTCACATTTAACAAAGTCATCTGGCTTTTGTACACCTATAATGTGATGTCCAATTCTGGCGTAAACTATGACAGATCCCCAGGTCATTTCAGATGATGGCTCTGAGGAAGTGGAGGAAGAGACAAGAAGAATCAGAGAACATTTTATCATAGATGAAAATGAGGATGAGGAGGAAGACAATGACAATGATGAGGCAAGGCATGACAAAGGAAGTGGTGCAAGAGGAGATATTGGAGGTGCAGTAAACATATATGAATTGGGCTTATAATTATAATGTTCTAATTATTTTCTCAGACAAGGAGGCCTTGGAAGAAGACTACTAGAGTAAAAACTGGACACTTCATTCAGGAATCAACTGACTCGTTGTAAAGATACAACAATGCTTGATACTATACGAAGTAAGTGTTAGCAATATAAAAATGTTGTAGTGGTCTTGGACAGCCTAGTCTGCTATACTTGCTAGACAAGTGTGTTCAACCCAAGGGGTTAGCTATTGGAATAAGTCTGTATTTAGTTAATTGATAAACTGTCAAAAGTCTGAATGTGAGAAATGGAATCCGAAGGTATAATTATGAGTCCGATGCCAAAGTGTTGGCCGATGTTTTCAGGTTTTGCGGGTTAGCGGGTTTCGGGTGTGGATTTGCGTCGGGTTTAAAAGGGAACATCGGGTATAGCGAGCAGTATGTGGATTATCGATAACGGCAGGTGTTTCGGATGAAAAGAGCGGTAATATTCACAATGTCAACTAAGAACTATGGAATATCGGATTTGACCACAAAGCATCGGGAGACGGCTCCCTATTACTTGGATGATGAATGTGCTATGTGGAAACCAATATATATATAAGTACATAGAAATATGGAACCCTATAGGCAAAAGTAGTGGCTGAAGAATTTCGGATCTGATGTACATGTAAATAAACACAAGGTGCTGCATACTATGGGAAAAACATGTAATAGCACTGGCGATGACGTAAGTAATGTGCGAAATAATCAACTATGCACCTAGTAGGGTGAGCTGACAAGACAAGACACGGATAGGACAAGTGCATGGGGAAAATGTCAGGTCTGATGCAGCCAATGTGTTGGGTCCGCTGGTCACAGTGTCGGGTTCAGCAAATATGTGTTGGGTTGCATCAGGAAGTGAATAGTGTGATGGACATTTAACGTAATGTGTGAAATAGCTGAATATGGGCCTAGCGCAAGCTCGAGTGCTACATTGTTTATGGTGTGGGCCAGAAGGTTGTCTTCACCTGCTCCATCAACCTCTAAGCACCAGCCAGTTGTGGAATCGTCAAAAGATGACTTAGATAACAAGAACTGATGACCAGTCCAGGATATTAAGTGGATTTGAAATGATGGGTGCACTGGAGGTGGACATGATGATGAGAAAGATGTGGTTAATTCCAACAACTATGAAGATGAAGATGAAGGTGCTGGCCCTGGCCCTGGCACTATGGATGAGCAGGAACATGAGGAAAGATGAAGAGATAAGCAAAAATGAGAGAGGGAGAGGTTGATGCATGCTCTTCACTTTTTTCATCCAAGAGTTTGAGGTCCTGTATATTTGGACTCACAGATGGGACTACATCTCATATCTCAACCCTTGAGAAATATGCACTTCAGTGATGTCAGTTGGAGGTGCACCTCTAGATTTTACACTTGAAAAAAAAAGACAAGTCGCCAGATGCAGCAGCTGGAGTATGGCAGATAAGAATAATACAATCAAACAACTGACTACTTTAGAGAAGGCTGATATGCAATAAATACTGAATCTGTGCCTCAGATGTGTAATAAAGCCTGACATACATAGGTCAACCAGGGTCATGTCCGAGTGCTGCCTGCAAGTTGACCTAAGTGTGAGAGCATTTGAGAGGTGGGAGGTCAGATCTCAGACCTGTAAATTATGGGGTAGTGAGGAAAATAAAAGTTAAAAAATTGAAAGAGAAAATGTATGGAGATATTCGAGGGTCTTGGGGCAGAGTTGGTTGTTGCATTCTTTGAGCTCTATGGGGTCCTCTTGGAACTAGGTTCATCCACTGCTATGAGAGCATCTGTCGGTAAGCTTTCTCCTCTCTCTTCATCATAGACAGCTCGACATCATACACAGCAAGATTATGCACTGAGAGTACTACTTGCAGAATCATCTAGAGCCTAATCAGATCCATCCCAAGCATATACAAAATATTGTGAGAACAAGAGAGTAAAAACTCACAAACAATAGCCCCTCCCTCCAACCTCTCTCGTGGATTCTTTTCCAGCCCTCCCAACCTGTTCCACTATCCCTTCCCTTACAATCCCGTGTGCAAGGAAATGAGCCTTAGTTGCCCCCTCGAAAGTGATATAAAGCTCCCTGCTGGTTTGATTTTGTCTGAGCAATTAGAGCCCATAGGAGTTGGATCAGAAGTGGTTTGTATTAAAAGTCCACCTCATACTCATCTTCGAGTCAAAGCAGTGTCTCCATTATGTCTGCACTCTCAATGTTCAAAACAAGTGTGGCTTTATCCCTAATTCTAGATATCAGTGTTAATTCAACACGGGAAAAGCACGATAAGCCAACCTTTTTAATGCTCCTAAGTGTCTCATTTCCACCCTCCTCAAATGTCATGTTCCTAAGTACCACTGTCTGCCTAAATGCAGTAGATATGTGCTGCAGAAAGGTCTAAGAGGGCACAGAAATGGCCATTGTGATGCCACTGTCATAGGCTAGCTTGCAATCCAAAAGGTCAATTCAAAAATGCAGACACTGGGTAGAAAGCATATGCACAGCAAATTCTCTGATGATCATGTCACCTAATATGGCAGGGAGGTCCCCATTGAGAGAGTTATGAACACTTCCATTGTTTGTGATCAGCTTAAGCCAAGCCTTATCTCTACAGCGCACCAAAGCACATCAGTCTAGGCATGATCCACTGCCTTGAAGGTCCACAATATCAACAGCCCTTCCCACAAAATCTGAGCATTGACCAACCTGCTCCACTCAGCCATCTTTCACACTCACAGATCCCACTTTATTAGAATTACACCACACCTTAGTCGAGCCCCACCCCTCATATCAAGCCCCGAGACATTCATGAATAACACCCCCTTGAAGATCCAAGGTTCAACAGGGGTAGTACCCTCGTGTGTGACCATTGTCACCTTCTCAGAATCAAAATTGAGAGTGCGAGAGGGTGTGGTGGGCCCCTTGGCGACATGGCAGCTGAAAAGGGAGAGCTGAGCAATAGCATTAATGTAAGACCTAAGTAGGCAGTGAAGCAAGTGGAAGTGGGTGAGAGGCCCAAATCACAACATCTAGTTCCAATTAGACAATTAGATTCATCTTTTATGTATCCTGCAATCCAACCAAAACTTTTATATAATAAGTAACCTCAGATACCTGCTTTTAGCATCCCAATCCAATGGCCCATCCCCATGGCAGTAGCAGGAGTAGTATAAGTAATGGAGAGAAGCATGAGTATAGGGTCAAGGCCATAATAGTATGCTTGGGTGGGTTCATGCAAGAGGTAGAAGCTGATAATGGGGCAGCCAGACTGCAAGCAAGTATTAGTTGGGAGCAAGGTCAAAGTTTTATGATAGAAGTGAGTACAGATGACATGCATTAAAGATAAAGGTAAATTATGATCATGGTGTAAAATATGCATATGAGTTGTGTGGCTCTAGACACGAGGTGCATTATCACAGCATATGTAAAGAAGGAAGTGAGGTTAAGGCGACATTCACCTTCAAAAGAATAATGCTGATCTGGCAGCGCAGAAGAGTCAACTTAAGGCACATCATGCCCATAGACACAAGGGGGGTTTCACCTTATGTGTGAGTGAGCAAGGAGAATAATGAGGTGTCTTCCAGGACATACCACATGCATGTCCATCAGGTATTGTCAAAAGTGAGAAAGACTTCATGTGTTGCCAGTGAGGCATAAGAGAGTGATCAAAGCAAGAACCAATCATTAAAGATGTAAGGAGGCTGAAAGAGCATGGAAGAAGGTGAATATTCAGCTGTAGGATGAAGTTTAAATTTTATTATGAACACTTAGCCATCTAGTAAACAAGGTTTATGGTCAGCATTAGACAATGTGTGCATTGAGTCAACTCTAACAGATATAATTTGCACTCCTAGAAAGAATTTGTGTGGTTGTGTATATAGTGGGTATATTTCTCTTCTACCATGTTTAATGTGATATCTCTCAGCATCTGGATGGTCTGACAGTTTCCGGGATTCATGGACTTTCAACTTTGCATCTGTTGATAGTTCTGTCTGGGACTGTCCCCTGTTTTTGACCTCATTTATTCCACTATTGCAGTCTTATAACTAACAATCTATCTTGTTCCCTTCTACAAGATCACCATTAGAGCTCATACAACAGATTTAGGGTGTTGCTGACATAATCCGGCAATAATCGCAACTTTCTGAAGACTTGTCAATCATCCTTCACCGAACCAGCCTATAGTTGGTTTCATCCTCACTTTTCAAGTTGATGTTTTTTGCTTATTCCTCAGTCTAGGTAAGATTGTCCTTCCTCCATGGCTCTATCCACTCAATCGGATGGGTCATATAGAATTATTTGGTATTTTTGGCACACCATCTAAGATACGATGATGCTACTCCAGTGAACATGGCCATAATTTTGGGGACACATATCTTTGACCTCTCAGGATATTTGACAGTGTTATTGGGAAGCTTGTGGATGTATGAGTTTATTCCTCTTGGCTGGAACCAAACTGATCATTTTGCATAGGTACATCCTTATGCAAAGGTCGTACTGGGAAGACTGTCTTCTGCATCCAAAGTACGCATTGTTTCACTCCAAGTCTTATCTCCTGCCTCAGCTGTTATGTATGCAGATAGTTCTCACTCAAACAGATTAGGACCAAGGAATACTCCAGCTTCTTGAGAAGTTAGGTCAAGTCTACAATTTCATGATGCAAGACAAGACTCTTGGTGGAATTCCATCAATACAGGGCATCATCGGACAAATAGTTCAGCAGACTCTCAAGTGCTCCCAGTTCATTCCTCAGCTAACTCCTGTGAGGATTCTATGACTTTTTGTGCTTTCCTCATTTGTTCACTATCACTACTCTACTGTATCTACAGAGAAGAGACTCAGGAAAAATGTTATCTCTGAAGCAGAAAGTACAACTCAACAGTCTATTAATGTTTTGGATGCACTCATTCAAAGCTTCTAGGACCAAGTTACTCGTGATGTAGAGATATTTGTTTACCATACAGATGAGGACTAGATGTACTTTTCATTTAGCATCTATTCATATGTCTTCAGGCAAGACACTAGACCTTAGTGGCATGGTGTATGCAGAAGGCACAGACAGGTCTAGATACTGGGAAAAAGTGCTTTCCAAGGACATACATGGAAATCATCTCTAAGATCATAGACTAGATTAACAGCACCAAAGACCACATTCAGTGGGTGCTCTGGCTATCTGGCCCTGCAGTTAGCCATTGCCCACACATCATGTTGATAAATTATGATATTCTTATGAGCTGCATAGGTGTTGCACAGCTGGAAGGCCACAAAGTTTATTATTTCTGTATACTATTATTTATTATAAGTAATGTGTATATATAAATTAGAACTTATTAACATTACAAAATCCATGATCTATATCATGTTGATAAATTGTGATATTTTTATGCACTGCATGGGTGCTGCACAGCTAGAAGGCTGCAATATTAAACAAGTGTCTTTTGATACTTGTGTTAGGACCTATAGGAAGTTACAAGTTATATTATTCTCATTTCATCTAGCAACAAGTTCTTCTCAGCCATCACTCATCCAATAATCATCTGCTCTCGGATCTGCTTCTCTGTACCGTCTATCTGTGTCCTTTCCATGTCCACCAAACTCTGCTGGTGTGTGTCCATTTTCTCTTTTGAGTTGACTGATAAGTAGTATGGCTTATTACATGTATCTATGTATTCTGTTCTGCGCACATCCTAATTACATATTACTTATCTGCCTCATTCTTCATCGCTACAGTTCTTGCCTATGGGTTCCAGACACTCATGCAGTAGGATATACTCTCACGCACTACATACAGTATAGTACTTTCTTTCCCTTAGATGCTACCTTTGTTTTGCAGAGTCACTTAGATGTTCCTAGTATCTTTGATCAATTGACAAGCTTTGATTCTTTCTCACTTTGAACACGCATATTCTTGACTGCTCTAAGAACATGCCTCTAAGTTTCCTTACCCAGGCTCTGCACGGATCTGAATTGCTCTCAGATTCTAACTTAGCAATTTATACCTAGTTTTACCTTGGCCTCAGGCCTCGTCTATACCTAGCCACAGAACTGCATATTACCTAGTACCCACCACTCCTTACCTAGAAACCTCTCACTTTCATTCAGTTCTCATTGCATTTTCACTGGACCTGCGGTTTCGCCTTTGTTCCTACTAGCAGATTAGCATTCCAAGATCAGATTTGTTCCCTTCCATTCTGTATTTACTCCTTTCACATTATACTTGAAGGAAGTACTTCATAGCAATCCTCTTGGGTCAACACAGCACATCTGCACTCAGTAGGATTTTATTAGTGCTCTAGCTTTCTTGCTAGCTAGTCACTATTTCTTCTTCACACCGTCTTTGCTTCACCTTGTACAATTTTCATATTATAATAAGGCCTTTATATAAATTTCAGTATCCTCACAAGATACATGTAGCTGTGGTATCTGAGAATTAGGATGTTTCTACCATCTAAAAGTTGGCCTAAATGACATAGCATAGTTATAAGACCCACATTTTTGTATATGCTGAGGAACAGGATTGGGCTGTGTCATCTGAGGATAGTATGGGTGAGTCAGAAGGGCCTCATACCCAGCAGAAAAAATTATGTTTGGCCTAGATATTGCTAGAGAATTTTCTATTCTATATTTAAACAGTAATTAAGAATAAGATCTGACTGGCTTAGAAACAACTCACTATTGCCATCCAATAACCCCTATTTCCATGTTCATTAGATTTGCAGTGCATTCATGGAACTTCTTCATGACAATTGTCACAAGAATAAATGAATATAGGTTTTGGTTATGCAAGGCCAGCAGCAAGTATAGCCTGCCAGGATAATGCACTAACAGCTTCTGACATAAATAGGTTCATGCTTAAAAAGGAACCATAGTAGTCTTGCTAAGGGTAAGAGTCAATCCAGAATGCACAGAAAGTACGCTTATACATGTAATCTATGCTTAGGAGTATAGACAAATCTGTACAATGAGAAATAGTGCTAGATATACTACAAAATACTAGTGAGTACTGAGATTTGGAGATATAATCAAATACTTACATGTTTAATAGTGTGATAAATGAAACATACCTATGATGGGTAGGCAGGTATACATGTATAGTAGGCGCAGTGGTAAGATGGTGATAGTATAGGTTGAAGATAGAGAGCATACCTTATCAATTTGTGATATGATATTACACAGATCTAGATGAGCTCAGATGGCTGGAAGGTGCCATAATTTCCAGTTCCCTGATGTTCTTCATAATTCTAGCTAAAATATTTGTTACAAAGCTTATTATCATCCATAACTATCTTTATCAGAATCTAGCTGACATCTAATTTGAATACTAAGATCTCTATGCTAATAATCTGTAGGTAAGGCATGTCTATAATATATTTAAGATTTTTGAGGGGTTGAAGTATAGCTTTGCTAGCACTGGATAGGAGGCACTGGCAGAGTATGGCAACCATATCTTGATAAACTACATAATACATCTTTATAATTGATATAACAGACAACTCTTTCCTATCAAATATAAACTCTAAGCTGTGAGCTTCAGTAAATTGAAGTTAAGGAAGAGATATATAACTTCAGTGTAAAGCATAATACAACCTACTATATTAGTGAACTGCAAAAAATAAGATTCTCATCTTAGGTTAATCCACTTTTGCATAGTATCTACAAATACTCTAAATGTAATATCATCAATCATTGACTGTCATAATTCAGTGTGTACTAGTATGGATTAAATATCTTAATGATGTGAGTCAGCATTAAAATAAGGCAGCATAAATCACTTTAGCAAGATGACTAGAGGTTAAATGTATAAGTCAAAAACAGACATGTGTATTAATACTGATGGATATGGCAAATGCATCTATGAGAATGAAGAGGATCTAGCTGGCCACCATCAGCTTGAGTAGTGAATATGACTAGGACCAAATCAAAATATGCCCACAAAAGAGATAATTAAGATAATTAAGAGTTTGGCCTTTGGCAGCAGTCTCTCAACTTCTTGGCTCACTGAAGAAGAGTAGGATGCAGTATCACTGGATAATTAGATCTAAGGCTATTCTCTACTATCATAGCAGTCAAAGGTGAGACTAATTTCTTATCCCCTTCATCTCTAGATAAGGCATTTTCTGACCACTAGTGGTCATCTTTATCATTACTAGTATTATCTTGATCTTCTCTAACATCACATATATCTATGTCTTTATCTACATTGCAGCTACTATGTGTATTATTATTATTATTATTATTATTATTAGATTCATTAAAGTCCTTGTTCTTATTATTCTTGTCCTTATCCTCATTAGTGCTATTATTGTCCTTATTATTACCATTTTGATTGGTTTGCACCAAACAACTCAGACTCTGTGTTAGATGCATTATCATTGGAGGAGTCATAATGTTCAGACCTTATGCCATTTGCATCAGCAATGGCGCATGTTCTTTGGCAGTAATGTTAGTTGATGCATGAACACTTGAGTATAGAAAAAAACATAGGTAAATGATCACTTACCATGCTTGCACAGCTGTTGACATGCAATGCATGCTTCACCTGCTTATCCTCAGCAGATTCTTTGTATGTCCCTACAATAATTGTAGTATGGATGCATTTTGCAAACTGTGCTCATTATGGCAGTACCTTGAGGGAGGTCCTGACATTGTCAACAATTGTCAGTGAGATCTTAAGAATAAGTTACATACATGATATGTTACTTCTAATTACTTATGTAGGGTTCCTAAATTTGAATATTTAAGAGAGATTACATGATGACAGCTGTATAAAGAGATAATTCATGTGACTGGTGTCATACAGTCATGTTCAACTATCTTCATTCAAGCTTTTAAGTCATACAACACAATGACATTTGTATTATATTCAAATATTATAGACACACAATCACTTAATGTATTGTTTTATTTCTCTTGCACAAAATCAAGGAACTGACACTGTTTTATTAGTGGCTTCATAAAAATAGATTATGTTTTACATTCAAGCACATAGAGAAGCTTCAGAGTAAGGGACATATAGATTTAGTGCTTAGAGAACAAACTCTGAGAATGTAAATAAGGATGCATAAGTTCAGGATTTTGACTGAAGAAGATAGTTTCAGAATGATGACTATGTGTCATGAGTTCCAAATACGAACCATTATTCATTCCTTAATTCTAAATCCTTTAAGTGTCCAGTCACAGCGTCTGTTCCTGAGAATATGTTTACTGTAGAAGAAGTTCCTATTATTGCGTCTATTGTAGAGTTACCAGAGTCACGTAATCTATCGGACAAAGCTGAAGATGTTGACGTCATGCCTCGCGACACTCTTGGAATGTTCCAGAATCTTACTGCGGCTGCAGCACATGTTATGACATCATAGTTATATATAGAATCATATGATACCTTTAATTATTCTGATTGGTTAGTTAGTTCATACTCAGTTTTGATCTCAGTTTCAATATGTGTATAGGTAGCTCATCGTAGTCAGTAGTTCTTTAGTTCAAACCTCTTGTATCTCCAAGTGAGCAATACCAAGACGTACCTGCTGCCTACCTCCTCTGTGTGATTATTCTGTTGTTTGAGTCCTAGTCTCTGCCCAGCGTTAATTTGTTATTGGGTTGTGACACTATGTTAGGGAGTCTCTCTGAGCATATTATAGTGTTTACAGACAAAATTAGTGCAAAAGAGAGAAGATCCTAACTTTTTGATGATCATACTAAACTCCCACAAGATTGATGGAAAGAACATAGAACTAGGTGGTGCCAAGCTGCTGGCTGCTCTATGCCCTCTATATGAGATACATTAACCTATTGTTAAGGTCGTAGGATCGTAGGATCGGATCCGAAGGACTTGAGCCTCAGCTCGTATGCTGTGCCCCTTTCCCAAGTACTGTCCCTTATTTCAAGTACTAATGATGATGCATCTGAAGGTCCAGACGAGTCTCGTAGTTATATCCGGATGACTTCTGGATATCAGAAACACATATAAAACTAATCTGGACAAGTCCAAACTAGAAACTAACAGAGTATAGACTACCCAAAGGTAGAGCCGAGGATATAGACTATTGGAATCGATCCGAAGCCTCGGAGGGTGACAAGAGTTAGATAGACTCAAGTCCGGAGGACAGAAAGAGGACAATCTAAGATGATATTTGAACTGAGGTACTACAGGACATATATATAAGTTTATATACTAAGAGAATAACGGAAGGATCAGTAAACAAAGGTCCGAGGCTATGTATGAAGCATAGGTTAACAGATCAGTAAGCATACCGGTAATAAGTATAACTGAGATATCGGGAAGAGGAAATACCAAATAGGCTGTGTTTAGTGTTATATAAACAGGAAATGAATTAAGAAGCTTATCGTAAATCAGATCAGAAGCAAATCTATGCATCGGACCGGATCAGATCTAAGGGTTTGAAGTCCAGAAGAGAAGCATGAATATATGGGATATGACACTTGGACACATATCATTGTATTCCTTACTTTGATATACTTGGTATTCCCTAGAACTAGTACAATCCCAGTACTTGGTTTTCCATCAAAACTTCTTTCAGAATGACCTCCAGTCCCTCTGTCTTGACCGCACTTCTAAGGCAAGCTGACACTACCTTAGCCATACATCTGTACATCTGTTAGCCCTATAGCTTTACAAGCTGCTGTGCTTACCAAGCTTGTCAGAGGATAACTTAGGTTTCATCTGAGCTAGAACACCATCCTTCTGTCTATGTGTGACCACTAGACAATTAGTCATTCAGCTAGAGAAGGCTCGACTTATCCAAGTCATAACAGACTGCCTATAGAATTATCTCTTGATGTAATATGCAAGGGATATCTTGTTAAAATTGAGGATGAGAAAAGGAAAGGATATCTTGTTAAAATTGAGGATGAGAAAAGGAAAGGATACCTAAAGTGCATTCTGTGGTCCAAAGGTATATCCAAACTACTGAAGTACCAGTCCAATGTGTCTGAATGTGGTCCAATGTTGAGAAATGAAGGTCCAAGGTGGTGCAAAGCATCAGAAGAGCTTCTGGTGAAACAAAAAGGTTTTTGGGGATGAATATGGTGGGTATGTCGGAATATGCAAAGTCTATCAAAAGAACTTAAAGATATTGAGAAGCAAAAATGGCAATGGTCAAGCCAAACAATCATTCCAAATGAACAAAGAGATTGATTGCGCAAAGTATGAATATCCAAAAGTGACTCTACTAACTATGACTCATAGAAAGGGAAGTAAAGTGGGGTCCAAAGTAGTTAGCAAGCCAGATTATATCCTATGATGTAAAAGTCCAGAAACTACATAGGCAAGAACTGTAGCAAGATAAGCTATCCAAAATCTGAAATGTAATGAGACTCAAGGTATGTTGTAACACTCAGGTTGGCGCTGGACATGTATTCCATCATATTCACATATTCCATTCCTCAACACCCTTCTGATCTTCCAAGAGTTCCATATGTTCATCCAAGTTGTCCAAATGCCATCTGTCATCTTTCGAGGCCTGTTTAGTACTTCTGATCCTCCATACCATGTCCTGTCCTTGTCCATTTGACTTCACTGGTGCATTTTTCACTTGGTTATCAGTTATTGATTATGTCTTAGGGGCACATATGTCAAAAAGCCTTGTTAATATGTATAGATATGAGCCTCGCGTGTTATTACATACATATCTTTGTAGCAGCTTAACTTGAGTCTTATTACATTTCAGATAGCTTATCTCGCTACAGTTCTCACCTACGCAGATTCCGGACTTCATGTTGTAGGATATAATATGGTTTGCCAATAACCTCAGATGGCACTTCACTTCCCTTGCTATGAGTCATAGTTAGTAGAGTCACTTTTGGATATTAGTACTTCATGCAATCAATCACTTGTTCATTCGGAGCGATTGTTTGGCCTGACCACTGCCATTTTGCTTATTGATTTCCTCAAGTCTTTCAATGGACTTTGCAAAGTTATACTGTGCAAGTCTTATACTTTGACATACCCACTGTATTGATCACTGGAAACCTTATTGTTTCACCAGAAACTCTTCAGAAGCTTTGCACAACCTCGGACCTTTGTTTCTTGATGTTGGACCTCATTCAGACACATCAGACCAACACTTTGGATACTTTGGACAATTCTTTGGAACTCTGAACATTGTAGGAATACAACACAGAGTAGGGCTATACAAAGATGGCTCCAAACTGATATCTTTATGTTGTGGTCTTGCACTGCCTAGTCTGCTATACTTGGTGAGACAAGTGCATTCAACCCAGGGGTCTGCGGTCTGGGAATAGTTTTGGGGGTCAGTGAGTGATGTGGGGTCAATAGTCTGAGCACAGGAAACAATGTCCGAAGGTATAATTACCATGTCTGATGCAAAAGCGTCAGGTTCGATGTTTTTGGGTTTCGGGTTATCGGAAACTAATAGTGATGTGATAGTGAGTGTCAGAAAAGTGAGCATTCTGCGCAATAATAATGATGAAGGATACAGATGGTGAAGGAACGATGATATTCGCAATATCAACTAAGAACTACAAAATATTGGGTTTTGACCCCTAAGCGTCGGAGAACGACTCTCCTCTACCTGGAGGATGATGAAGCTATTGAGAGTCCAATATTTATGTAGATACGTAGAAATCCAGAACCCTATAGGCGAAAGTAGTAGCACAATATTTCGGATCCGATGTCCTATGTAATAAGACATGATGTACTGCGGACCATGAGAATACATGTAATAATGTAGTCCAAAACATCAGGAATGTGAAAATAAGCAACTACGCACCTAGTGAGGCTAGCACAATGAGACTGGACATAGGTAGGACAAGTTCGCTGTCATGCATGGTATGTGATTCATACCATGTCAGATATATATAGAGAGTGATAAGGAAGATATGAGAGACTGTCTAGCCCTCTGTCACTGAGTTACTTCTCCATTTTTCCTTTGATTCATTGTCTTGTATTTTATTTCTCACTTTTCAGACTTATTTTTAACTTATATTTGTATCAAGCATGTGACCTTCTGTTTATTTCTCATTGTTTATTGTTATTTGGCTTCTTTCAGCCACCAAGTTTTGTATCTCTATTTATTTCTGACTGTTTATTTTTATTTGGCTTCTTTCAGCCACAGATTTTATTTGTCATCACATCATGTGACTGGGAAATATTCTGGTTTGTAACATTATTTAAGCTGACTCAACATGTTTAGTCATGATTGGTCATGCTTTGTAACAACATTTAACATAACTCAATATGTTCACTCATGGTTTGTCATGGTTTGTAATTTCTTTGTAAGATTACACTGTATTTGTAATGTACTTAGTAATAAGCTGATTCATCACCTGGTTTGTAAGCCACATTTTTACCAATCCATCTGATTAATCATGCTTAGTAAGGGGGTTCCCAAAAGGTATAAAAGGACCCCATTTTCACCCATGAAATACAATCCTCCCACTTGACTCTTATCTCAAACTGTGTGAGACCACTAAGACTTAAAGTGCAGGCCAATATAAGTGCCTTGAGGTAATCTAAGATATCATTATCTACTCTAAAGTTATATACTACCTTACAGGGGTTGACTATATAACTTTCGTTGTTGTTATTCCACTCTAGGTTATATACAGTGGCTCAAAAAAGTGTCCCAATGTTTGTAGCTTTTCATGTAATTGCTATATCATGTGCCGAGACATGGGAATATGACTAAGCTATAGGGAGATGTCGGAAAGGTCTGCATCTCAGCTTCATTTCGGTTCCATATACCATGGGAAACTAATGACATTATGTGAAGATATGAGTATTTTAATTTGATGACTCATTGGGACACTTTTTTGACTTTGAGTTTTACTAATGTAATCTCTATAATTCTAGTACTGTGTGTGACCTCCTTCTGCTCCAATCACTTCTGCCACTCTTCTAAACATATTCTCTATCAATTTTGGGTATTTCTCTTTGGTGATTCCATCATACTCTGCTGTAACACTGTCTCATAGTTGGAATAGCCCCTACAGTGAATCTTGATATGCTACAAGTAATTTCTTGAGTGATTCTCAGGGGTATTCAATATGGTTGATGTCTTGGGTCTATGTTGAACATGATAGAATAGTAATATTATGGTCTTTAAGTTATTTGGTAGCCAATCTAGAAGGTTGCTCTATAAGACTTAAGATCTCTTAATCACTATATTCTAATTGGAAAGACTGCTGATGCTAATAAAGTGATTAAATTGATTATTTCCATCATTCCTATGACTATCTCTACTCAAATAGTCAGACAGACTCTCAAGACAGCCCATCTTAAAGCTATAATCAAGAAAAACAGATTCCTCTGTCTCCAACCTATAAAAATAAAAGACAAGATGCTACTTTCAAGTACAAATATCGGACTGCTAATAGCTGA